ACAAACATGCCTTCGCTTAGATGTTGAGTCTGAAATGGATCACTACCTCGTCTCGGATCTTCGTCCTCGAAAATGATACCCCTTAAGTGTTCTGTAGTCTAACTCCGTTACTGCCCCGACAGTGGTGAAGTCGATGTGTCGCTCCTTGATAGTTACTGATGGAATATTCGTAGATGAGAATCTACTGTTGAATTACTCTTTGGCTCAATAGATCATCGTTTCAATCTCAAATGTTGCACAATCTTTGAGCTCATTGCTTCGTCTCGAATCTTTGTATTTGGAACTGATGCCCCCTCAATGCTCTGTAAACTCACTCCGTTAATACCTCAGCAGTGATGAAGCCATTGCGTCGCTACTTGATGACTATCAATGATATGATTGTAGATAAAACTCCACTGTTGGATTATTCCTCAAATTAATGGATCATCATATCAATCTCGAATGATGTACAATCTTCGAACAAATCTCATTCTTGTACTCTGAAATCCTTTTAGTCTTTAATGCATGTCTATATATGAGACTGTTTGATTGAAAACTTTCATCTCTTCTTGAGAAAATTTTCTCTCGAATATTCCCTTACGGATCAATACTTTTGCATTATGATGATGCAATGCAATGCAAAAAAATGATGACAAAATGACACAAACAAAAGAGAATAAATAAATTAGAGCACACAAACAAAAGAAATTAGTTAGTTCAGGTAAGACAATAGATATAGATAAAAATGTTATTTAAAGATGAATTTAACATTTAACCTGTCATAATATTTACCCGAACATGCTTTCAATAGATGGCAATCCTACCCGGATATGCTTTCTACCCACAATGATTTTTCAAGAAATTAATCATAACTTCATGGTATCTAGTTCGCATGCAATTATTTAACAAAATTTAAAGCAAAATGGAAAGGTTTAGAAACACTCCTCCTTTGTGTATACCTAATTTGGGTACCTACTGACGAACAGAGGTTTGGTATGACTATACCTAGGGGACCGTTCTATAATTCACTACATGCAGGGTTCCGGCTCTATGAGGAAATGGTGCTCTAATTGTCCTTGATGTTGGTGCCCCCTTGGGCTTCTAAACCCTCGATCCTCACCCATTACATGTTTCGAACGGAATGAGTTCAATTCGAGGGGATTCACTGCCTTATCCCCATAAGAGGAATAAATCCCTACGAAGGTATAATGTATGTATCCCATGGGTTATTTGCTAAAACTCATACGAAGAATAAATTCTTACGAGAGTAAAGCATTCACCCAAACTAATTTGGATCGAAGCTCGTGTCTAGAACTTATGTTATGCAAATGCAGTGATGTGTGTGAGGAGGAACGTACCTACCTTTAACTCAAAAAAAGAAAAAATAAAACTCGACAAAACCTGGATCGATCTGAAAGAAAAAATTCAAATGTTAGTATGACGGTTAAAAAATGAAGCAATTAAAAACTTCAATAAATGAATCATAAGTTAACTAAAGACTCGAAATCATAATTTCCACCAAAACGACAACGTGTAAGCGACATACAACTTGACTCTCTAAAAAAAGTCCCCAACGGAGTCGCCAAGCTGTCATAACCATTTTTTTTAATAAAACAATTAAATATTTTTTTAAAAACAATTATGACTTTAATTTTAAAAATTGGGGTATTTTGGATTAATTTGGATCGACCTTTGGGTTAGGTAGGTTGAATACCTAAAAATGTCTTTAAAAACAATTTTAAGAAAAATTATTTTTTAAGACAAAAATAGCCTGCGTCACTAAGGATTCCATTTGAATAGATTCGGGAGTCGTTTACGTGTGGGGAAGGGTTAGCACCACCACAACGCCCAAAATTGGTACTGTGTCGCTTACGCGTTGTCGTAAATGGTGGAACTGATGAATTGAATATAAAATTAAATTGTGATCCATTTATCGAACATTGATTAATTTGCTTCGAATTAAATTAATTACAGAAAATTCTTTAACTCGAAAAGAAATATCAAAATTAGTAATCCTCCATCGGGAAAGCTAACTCGACTATTTCTTGTCAATAAAAGAATAATCCCTCATTGATAAATATACAAATCGAATATAAATAAAATTGACGTTTGCATTCGAATAAAAGGAAATAAATAGTGAATTAAAAATAACACACATTGCATTATTAAAATAAATTAATTAGTAAAAGGAAAATAGATCTATTTTAAGTTCGTATCTGTTCGAATGTCGTATTGGATTGTACCACTTCGATCAAGTAGTACTTTCCACGCCCGTTTTATAAATACGTATTCTAGAAATATTCGGAAAAACCTTAATAGCATATTTTTACATTTTTAGTATAAATATGCATATAAAACTGAAACATATCATATTCATGCATAATGTACAGTAACTGCTTGTAATATAAACATAATTAATCGTGTATTGTATTATATACATAATATCTATATACTTACACGTATACAAATGATCATAAATCCTACCTTAACATATATAACATGATATATTAATTTAATGTTAATAAAACAATGGAAATGTCTAATTAATATGCAAAGAACTCACACACAATATTCAATAATGTAATATAAAGTATAAATGCCATAATATTAGTTCATAAAAAAACAAAGATGAAGTAAATAAAATAAAATAAAACATAAAAAATAAACTCAACACAAGGATTAAAATACTAAACACATATTTAACACAAGGATCTAAAAAACACACTTATATAATAACAAAGGGGCCAAACAAGCAAATAACTCCAAAATAAAACTGAATAATGACTAAAACACACATCAGGAAGATCTCATGGACTAGATATGTAAATTTCCATTTCCACATAACAGATAAAGGACTAAAATATAATAAAAATAAGATAAACAGACATTAATCAAAATTTAACCTAAAATATGAGAGTAATGATCAAAATAAAGTTTCATATAAGAGTACAATGTCTAAACTTTACAAAATATTAACAATAACCAGTCCAGTGACCAAAATGTAAACTTCACAAAATATAGGACTTGAAGTACAAAACAAATAAAAATACACTAAGCCCTTAAACAAATTTACAAAACACGGGGACCCTTACAGTGTAATTAAAACATAGACTAAATAGTAACTAAAATAAAATGTATACAAATGTTAGAGACAAATTCGAATAACCTCCAAAATACACAATACATCAAATCAGTGACTAAAATTGAAATAATGAAAACATATCATGCTTAAGAATTAATGAATAAATGAATGAAAATACCATGTCCTCAGCGTAAATATGCATAAAATAATTACAAGCTAATAAGGACGGAATTGAAACATTTCAAAACAAGAGCTCGAATTAAAAGGAAATAAAGTTGTATTGATGATTAAAATAGGCGATTACAGAATAGAAAGGACCTTTAGGGTAATCAACCCACGCGCGAAAATGCTCCCAGGTCCTCCATGAAACGGCGTCGTTTCAACACACATACAAAAGGCCAAACCCAGGCCATTTCTCATTTGTTTCCTTTGCCCGGGTTTTGAAAGAGAGAGAAATGAGAGAAAATTCTGGGAGCTTCAAACGAAGCCCAGAACACGGTGGGGCTCAACCTCGTCGGCCGTCGATGATCGGCGGCCACCGCCGTACATCGGCGTCGGGGAAGAGAGAGGAAGACACTAATTGACGTGTCTTCTCCCCGTGAAGGTGGGTCCGAGCTCAGTTTGGCCTAAAAATGGCTCAAACGCCATAGATTTGTGAAGAAACCTCTCGGTTTTTTCGGCTCCGGCGACCCTTGGTTCACGGCAGTTCGAACAAGGGTAAGAACTTTCTCTCTCTCCTTACATTTCTTGTTTTATTCCAGTGTTTTTCCTTTCTGCCTCTTTTCTTATGGTTTCTCTCGTTTTTTCTTGAAAACCTGAATGGCCCCGTCTTCTCTGCCTCTCTTTCGTTTTTATCTGATTGCATGTCCGTGGTGGATGTGATTGTTGCTGCCCTTGTATTACCGAGAAAATAGAGTATGAATGCCCTATTTTAGCTTGAGGTACAACCCGGATTACCTCGGGATAGTGTAGATTTGCTCTTGATATATTTTATTATCTTTCTCTACTTTTCTGACCGATGGTTGTAGAATAGGCCACTGTTTGATGCAGGATTGTCGACGGCGCTCGTGAGACATTTCGGCTTGAACGGCTCGGCGGCTGGGAAACTGGAGTGTTACTGGTAGGAGCTAGAAAACCAAGCGGCGACGCGGCTTTCCTCTGTTGAGGGCGACGGTTGCTGAAAGGTTAGGGTTTTAGAAACCCTAAATAGCTTCTGATCTGGACCATTGATTTGGGTCTAAATCTAACGGCTCATATTTGGGCGGCTGGAAGCTGAAGAGAATAAAACCCTAGCAGGCTTGGGTGTTGGGCCTGGACCGATTCAGGTTTGGCTGATGGGTCTGTTGAATATTGGGCTCCGGGATTGGGCCTTTGTATTTTGAGTTAGGTTTCAAGGCCTGCAAAAGTGTAATATGTAAAATTCAAAATAATAATAATAATAATAATTAATTAATTAAAATAAAATAGAAAAGACTCGGATAAACGGGTGTCTACAATAAATATATTGGGGAGATGATAAATATGAATTTGAAGGACTTTTCTTTTTTAACCAATAATTTTCTATCTGGAACTTGAAACAAAAACAAGGCTAAATACACAACCTAACCAAATATGAGATACTATACACTATAGAAGAAGACCTTATTATCGATTTTGTTAACCGTATATCAAGCATATAAAATTCAATATTCCATTTTCACTAATGAAAACTGTATTTTCTTTGGAAAAAAAGTGAAATATGACAACATGATTTCCATTGAATCATGTCAACTGGGAGGATGGCATTTACCAAAACATTTCAATGCAATATTCGACATAAAAAAATGAATACACAAGGTTGTTGAGCAGAGCAAAGCTCTTCATTAATATCTCATAACAGACATCAATTAATGCAAATCTCAACCAGCAACCAATCATCGTTCATTAAGATGAAGAAATACCAACAAAATAGTGCGCTTGTCATTAATGGGAAAACAAGTCACGAGTCTTGTAATTAAGCAAGTAGGAGATGATTAGAGTATATTCACATTACGCTAAAAAACCCTAACTAAAACACTGTGAACAAACTACAATTCCACAAAAGCTCTTTCTTCTTCCTCCTCAAGAAACTAGTGAGTACAATCAAAGCTAAAATTCTAGAATTGTTCCATCGAGGAATCAAATCGAGGAAGGAGGATACGGGTTTATGAATCTAAGGTAAACAGTCTGGGTTTAGTCGTCGTCACCGCCGGCTGCCTTGGAGGTGCCTCCCGCTTTCTTGGGGAGGAGGAGATTGTGGATGTTGGGCATCACGCCTCCATTGGCAATCGTTACATCGCCGAGTAGTTTGCTCAACTCCTCGTCGTTCCTAACAGCGAGCTGTATATGGCGAGGCACAATTCGGGTTTTCTTGTTGTCCCTGGCTGCATTTCCTGCAAGCTCCAGAACCTAAAAATAAGCACACATTTTACATCAGGATCACAAATGGTGGAAAAGACGATTATTCAATAATAAAAAATGCAGTTTTACGTATTGATCAAACCATAATTTCTTCCAATTGTTAAAAAGGACACAAAATTTCGCCAAAAAAAATTAAAGTTGAGAAATAGTAGCAATCTCTTACGCAGATAAACCCTAATTGATATATATATATCAAATTTAAAGATAAAGCACAGATCCGAAAATGAAAACCCAATCGTATAAACCTTTTATATGAAAATCCTTTTTTAGAACGTAGATCCATAATTCGTTTGGAAAGGACAATTTCAAAAGAAATTTGCTGGAAGCTTATCATAACAATTTTTTGAATTAAAATATTTAGTTTTCTCAGAAATTAAAGGGAACCCATATTAGGCTAAAAACCAAATGAACATTTTTTAAACAAAATACATATATACCCATTAATCCCTACGAATTTAAAACGGATGAAACCCAAATTAGATAAGAAAATGATTGTACCTCAGCCGCAAGATATTCAAGAACAGCTGCGAGGTAAACCGGAGCTCCGGCTCCGACACGTTCAGCATATTTCCCAGCCTTAAGGAACCTAGCGATACGACCCACCGGGAACTGAAGCCCGGCCTTGCTACTCCTCGATGTCGCCTTCTTTGACGCCCCTGATCCGAGAGTTTTGCCTCTACCAGCCATTTTAGACCCGCAACTAAAACTACGAACTTCTCAAAATATACGCCAAAATGTAAAAGTGAAACACTCGCGAAGGAGAAAGGGAGATCTAAGTGACTGAATGTAAGGTTGTTTAGGTTTATATATAGTGGAGAGCGAAAAGGTACTAGCCAATGGGAAGAGAAGACGCGGATTGATAAGGACACACCGTTGGACGATTAAGAAAGGAACGGATCCGATTTGAACCGAACACCGCTTCGGCATTTTTGGCTTTTGCGGAGTTTAGTTAGTTAAAATTTGAGGGAACTTTTTCTTTTTCCTTCGAAATTGGGATTTTATTGGAATGGATGGAGTAAGTGTCCTTAAGAAAAAAAAATTATTAATTATTCTGTTAATTTTAACATGAAACCCTAAACTATTGCCCAAATTTTAAAATGGTACATATATATAGTAATTTTAAATTATTTTTATTATTTAAGATATAAAAATTTGTTTTTATATTATGAAGAAAATAAAAATTAACTATGTATTAAATAAAAATAAAATTTTATTCAATTCTAATCATTGTCGTGTTTAAACTATTAACCATCAAATATTACGGTTAAATTACTCTCTCAAAATTATTTGTTGATAAACAATTAAACAATTACTCACATTTAAATATGAGAGTGGAGCAGGAACCGACTTACTTCAATGTTTAAAAGAATCGTTATTATTCTTTAAGTTTATGGGTTCGAGCACTTACAACTTTAACAAAGTGATTGTTGTCGAATAGTTGAAAATATTTAAAATAAATACTACTTATGGCCTTAGCTTAATAAGAAAAAAATTGAGAGTGAAATATTCAAAAGAAAATTGAGATTGGGATGTAAATAACATTGATTTGGATATTAATATTTTGTGGGCTTAAACTAAAAAAGTATTTAAATTATGACACTTTTTTACTTTAAGTATTTAGATTATTTTCTATTAAACTAAGTTCTTAAATTATTATATGTAATCACTTTACATATTTAAATTATGTTTTGGTCAAAAATAAGTCTCTAAATTCTGACTTTTTTGTCTTAATCCCGTAAATTATTTTCTGATCAAAACAAATATCTAATTTTGTATGATGTGTCAGTATCTTATTAGTCAAAAAATATTTTTCTAACTAAAAAGTGATATGACTTAAAATGATTAAATATAATGGTATGAAGGCTTAATTTAACCCAAAAAAAAGTTAAAGCAAAAAGAATGTAGTTTGAGTACTTATTCTTACTTTTAAGCATATTTTGTAGATCAAATATAATATTGGTCCCTGGATTATAAGATATTGTTTTGTTGAGTCTCTTAACTATTAAAAATTATTAAATGTACCCTCTGACTATAGGACATTGATATGTTGAGTAACTCAAATATTAAAAGTTACAAAATGGTCACCCAACTTTTCATATGTTCATAATTAGTCCCTTTTCATTACAAAATCAATGTCTATCTATGCTAAACGTTAACCTGCTGACTAGGATATTATAAAATCATATTTTAATTATGTTTACTAGCATCGTCGTTACTTTCAAACACTAGTTTGATGGCATAATGTTTCAATCACTAGCTCGAATACATAATATAAACCGAAAGTTAATCCACAAAATACAACTCAAAGGATTTTGAGACCAAATTTTACCATAACTCAGTTAACATGTCAATGTCTAGGAGCCCATCGAAGAACTACATGTTGGAAGCTAACCTCGTCAAGCATTCAAACTCTGCAATATAAAGGGGACCGTTGAAGAAAAAGAAGAGTAGTAGGAGGAGGAGTTAACGGAAGTTAACTACCACGTCAGATAAAACTAACGAGAGGTAACATAAGTAACCTTTATGAAAACGGACTAAAAGTTTAGTGACTATATTGCAAGTTTTAAAAGTTGATTGACCAAAATGCAAGTGCCCTAAAAGTTCAGGGACTACTTACATACTTTACCCTTATTATAATTATTGTTGTTTTGGAAGTTAATACAAAGTTAAAAATTACAAAGAAAACATTTTCCAAAAAAGACACGATCTGTCTTCTCGGTTCATTTTCACTTCTGAAGTATTAATATACAAAATTAAATCACAAAAAAGCCCTATGTTACACCAAATTACAATGTTTTTTTTAACCCTAAACACCCTCGAAACTCAATAGAGAACTCAAATTCTAAAACCAAACCTGGGTTTTGCTTTAGCTCCTTTACATCCGGAATACATGTCACAAAAACAAAGATTAAACCATTAGAAAAATTTAACACATCAACAAATGGAGTCAGCTGCTGTCCACGGACTCGTCTCTCCGGTGCACGGTTATCGGAAACTTAGTTTCTCCTTGCTCTAAGTCAACAGAAACATCGTCCATGATGGCACCAGATAGAGACTTACGATGCTTCTTAACGTGTCTTGTTTTAAGGATTCGCATTAGCTCTTGCACGATATCCCTCATCGAAGGTCGTTTTTTGGGAACACGGTTGACACATTTATATGCGAGGGTGGCTACATCATTGAGCTCATGCACGTCAAATTTCCCGTCCAATTGTGAATCCGCAATTTCCTCCCAACCGACTTTCTCTTCGGTACTCATAGCTGCCTGCTTGTCATACCATTATCATATTCAGAACATGAAAGATTTACTTTATAAGACAGGAAGTTGAAAGAGAGAATCTTACCAGTTCAACATGTTCCATGAGACCCTGTAAAGGATTTCTGCCAGCTATGAGTTCAAAGAGCAATACCCCAAAGCTGTAAACATCACTTTTCTTTGTAAAGGTCCTCGTCGATATATACTCCGGATCGAGATATCCGAAAGTTCCTCGTATGTTAGCTGCATGTTTGTCAACCATCTCTTCTCTTGAAAGTCCAAAATCAGCTACCTGCATGAAGTTCCTTCCAATAAGTATAACATCAAAAGGTTTACTAATGCATAAGAAAATAGATTTTTCGACAGAATTCCGTGCAAATATTGTATACCAATCACGAAGAACATACCCTAGCTCTCATGGAATCATCCAGCAAAATATTGGATGACTTGATGTCCCGGTGTATTACAGGAGGAACTGCCTGAAAAGGGAAATATGAATAAATTTACAAATGTGTACCGATGTTGAGAAGCATAAAATGCATAGACATGAATCTGCAAATACATGCCTGCAAACACAGACAGGTCCATGTATAGTTCGAACAAGAAGAAATATTACCCCATCATGAAGATATTCCAAGCCCCTTGCTACATCTAAAGCGATATAAACCCTCAAATTCCAGATCAGAGGTTCATGTTTTTCACCTGCACAAAGATGAAAATGCTGATTCGAAACGTGTATATGCTTGAAAAAGTACGCATACTTGTTTTAACCATATCACTCGTTTGCATAACCTAATCATGAAAAATATTCATGGTCCAGGATGGCATCTGACAAGCTAGGTTGGCCAGCTCTGTAGCAGTTTTTTTATAGCAATGACATGGCAATCAATTGCTCAATGAACTCAAGACGAAAAGACGTGCTTTTGTTTTGATAAAGCAGGCAGAACAGCAGAAAATACAAGTGACAGAACAGAAGATATACAAGTCTATAATACAATATTTCAGTTCAGTTTTGAGCATTCATAAAAATATACCGATCTTATACCAAAAATCGAGACAACTTACTGTACAAATGAGAAGCCAAGCTGCCTTTACTCATAAATACATAGACAAGAATATGCTGACCCTTTTCAGCACAATACCCAACCAAATTTACAAGGTTTCTATGGTGCAACCTTCCCAACAACATAACCTGAAGCATTAAGAGGGTGAAACATTAAACAAGTTTACGACAGCCAATAAAACAACAAAAAAGGGGAAACAAAACGCTCATAACACAGAGAAATGCCAGCAATAAAGGCATGTTAAAAAGGGGAAAATAGTAAATTGGGTAAAAGGATTGTGCAGGGCTTCGATTGACTAATCAAGTTTTCCCCATATTTCAATATGACGTTCCATGCATTCACTGGTTTGTTGCTATTTATCTCACTTCTCTACTTTCAGGTTTTCACTTATAGAAGAAATGCATGCTAGTGCTAAGATTCTTCCTCGATGCCAAGTCGTGTTTATTTCTTAAGACAAGAAAGCATGTCAGGAAATGGTATTTGCACAAATGCTTATGCAAATTTTAATAGAGGATGGATAGATCATGACTTCGAAATATGCCAACGAGATTGAACATCCCTACCTCCGTCTGGAACTCTTTCTCTCCTTGCTTAGAATCACTCGCAAGCACCTTTACAGCAACAGTCTCACCCGTTGACATCTGAGCTTTATAAACCGGACCAAAGGCTCCATGTCCGATTAGTGTTGTAAAATTAGAGGTTGCTTTTTGCAAATCCCTGTATGAATAAAGCCATCAATGAATTAGCATAGAAAAATTAAGGGGTCATGCAAATTTTGATTTTCTGATATTCAAGCCAAAAACCATCCAACCCTGCAAACTAGTTTGCAAGAATAGAAGTATTAGGTGCTTTAACATATTCTTACTTTGAAGTCATTAGATCGATTTTTGAGTTACCAAGTGCATGGTCTATTGGAATGCGATAATTTCGGTTATTTCTCATAAAGAATGTCCTCTTTTTCGAAAACAAACAAGCTTCACAGGTTCCAGAGCTGGGAAACCTTGTAAAGTTCATATCATGCTTACATGATGTCATCTTAGCTTGGGAAACAAATTTTCTATAGCCATTAAATCATTGATCATGTCATATGAAAAGCAACACAAACTAATCACCTATAAACTTTGTTGAATCGTAATCACATATAAAAGTAAGTAAATCATTTGCTTATACCAATACCAATCAAATCAAAACCAACTGCTATGATGCATAATTCAACGAGTTTCGAAGAGTCATACTTGTACGAATACTCATGTATTCCAGAAGCGGAGACAACATTACTCCTTCTAAACCCTTCAAGCCACACGGACATTCCATTTCTTCCGGATTTCACAGGTGAGTCAGGACCTATAGTCGAATCCGATAATATAGAACATGAATCAGCTCCATTAGCCCTGATAGGAATAGTTGAAACTCTCCTGGAACTGCTGATTCCTATCTGGGATCTCCTTCTATGATATCTAATGCAAAATAATGCGGAAATGGCTAAAAGCACACCAATCACTACTCCAATAGAAATCCCAATGATCAAACCAGATGACTCCTCCCTCATCTCCTCTCTCTCTTTTGTTATTGCTATTCAAGCCTGCAGTCCATTGAAACAACTGCAAGAACAATTCTGGGGTCAAATTAAGCCACCACTAAGCTACCAAAAATGACGACAATTTTTTTTAAAAGAAAAAATTGCAACATAATACCGAGTCAAAGAAAGTTAACTCTATCAAACCTAGAAGATCAATTCAAGAACTTCATGTCATCTTTCGATAGAAAATAAAATGAAAGTCAAAATTGAGATACATGACAGAAAGAAGAATTTTTCAGCCTTCTATCTGAACAATCTTAAACTAAAATTGATAAATTTTCAAATGCTGAAATGAAAACAAAAGGAAGAAAAATTGAGTAGAGCTTATGAAGAAAATATATTAGATTAACCCGTGAAACAAGAAAAGCTGCCCAGATATGAAAAAACCCAGAATTTGTTTCTCGTGGAAAAAGGTAAAACTAATACATTGATGAAGAAATCAACCAAAAACATTGACTTTAAAGCCTACCTATATCGGCATACAAATAATAAAAATAACCAGACATCTCATCAGTTACATGGTTTCTTTGGAGCTAGGAATAAAAAGAGAAAACAGCAATGAAAATGTGGCTAAGAAAATTCTTAGAGTGAGATTTTAAAGAAAGAATCTGAAGTTTGAGGTCTGAGAAGGGAGGTTTTTTTTTAAGATTGGAAAAAAATGGAATTATTGTTGGACTTTTTTATTTTTAAATATAATATTACATTTAAAATTCTATAAATTAAAAATGTCAGGACTAAAAAGTTTATTAATTTAGAGAGTTATTAATTTATCGATAAATTAATAATTAATAATTTAAAGAATTTTTAAGTAATTATACTGTACATACCAAACAAAAAGGTAAATTAGTCTATGCCTCTTAAAATTACGTTACAAGATATGAGTTAAATTAATAATGAGCTCCAAATAGACTTGAACTTTAAAAGAAAACATACAACTATTGAATCATATTTCAATAGAGTGTAATATATTATTTTCAGTTTCTATGAATTATTAATTTATGATTTTATTGGGACCGAAAATTATAAAAGGATCTCACAAAAAATTATTATCTTATTATTTTATCGAGTTTTTCAATTTTTTACATTGGCCCAAGTCGGGACCGGACAAATTTATTATTTTAGAGAATTATTAATTTACCGAATATTAATTTAAAGAGTTTCTACTGTATATATATAATATAACAATATACACGATAAATTAATACAAAAAAAACCCTGTAGAGATGGTTTAATTGTGTTACATTTAGATAATTTATTATATTACAAGAGATGTGAGTTCATCTTGTTTAGAATTATAAGTTTAATTATCAATAATAAATATTAGTATATTACTAAATATTAGTTTTTAAATGATCTATCCTAATTAAATTACTCTAATTATAACTAATTAAAAATTATAATTATAATACTTTGTGAATTATGGATAGAATTTACAGTAATAATTTGATATGATACTTGTATTTTAAGAAAGATTATTTTGTAGTACGAATTCAACTACTTCCGTGGTTAGAAGGATGATTGTTATCCTTAAAAGTCGTAAGTGAGAGCATCAAAGACAATAAAATTGTCTTAGTTTTCATTGTCCAATTGAAAATCTTTAGAACACGTACATGCATATTACTGTAAATAATAATATTCAAATTCTATCTGAATTGAACTTAAATTCATATTTGAGGAATTTTTTAAATAAATATTAATTTTTATTTATATTTGAATTATTCAATTTTTAAAAATTTAATTTTAAAAAAAAAATTGGCAAAGAAAAAAATAAGTAGAGGGCGAGTAAGAATAAATTGTTTATTCGGTTTTGTAATTAGATATTTTAATTTATAAAATTTAATTTCTTAATATCAAATGTATCTTGCGGTTATTTATTAGATAAATTATGTATTCAGTCACCATTTATTTTTGTGATTTTGTTTTGATCGTCTATTTTTTGAAATCATGACTAACGTTATGTTTTTGTTTCGTTTTGGTCATCCATCATTACAAAATAAAGGCTAAATTACACGTTTAATACCTAAAATATCAATTTTGATATGTTTTAAGATCTAAACTTTCATTTTTTTTCAAAATCATACCTAAAGTTTAGTTTTTATTTCATTTTAGTACCTCATCGTTAAAAACTTTAGTTTTTGTTTTATTTTAGTACATGTTCAAAATTTACCGTTATGTTTTGAAAAAAATTGAAAGTTTAGGTACTAAAACAGACTAAAAATGATAATTTAGGTACTAAACGCGTTAATTTTTAACGACGGGTACTAAAATGAAAACTAAATGTTAGATATGCTTTTGAAAAAATTGAAAGTTTATGTACTGAAACAGATCAAAACTGATAGTTTAGATACTAAATGTTTGGTTTACCCAAAATGAATATAATTAATGACATAACAATCTTTTATTTTTCCTTCAACGATGATATGATATTATCTTATGATGACATATAGTCATCATCGTTAATTTTTTAATGATATGTGACTAAAACATAACAAAAAAAGTATAAAGTATGATTTAAAATCACGAACTAATTTACCTCAATAGTTAAAGGAATCGTTGTTGTTCGTAGAGATCACGGGTTCGAGCACAACGACTGCAACAGGGTGATTGAGCGTTCATCGTCAAATGGTTGAGAGCACTTAAAACAGATACTACTTTGTATTCTTCTTAGCTTAATAAATAAAATTATGATTTTAAAAAATAATAGTTAGGTGGCTAAAACGGAACAACAAGAATAATTAGGTGATTAAATACATAATTTACCCTATTTATTTTTCTAATTTAATGTGTTAAAAAATGTTGGGAAGAAGCATATTGAAAAGAGAAAATATTTGGAACAAATCCTTCCACGTTACAAACACCAACATAATTGATTAAAGCAAACACATTTGATTATTAAAAAGATTAAAAAAAGGAGACGGCCAAACGAGCCAACCCAGAACAGAGGAGAGAGATCTTTAAAAGGCTAGCTTTGTTATTGTTGTAGAAACCCCAAATCTTTTCATTTGGGTATTCTTCTTAGCTTAATAAATAAAAGTTATGATTTTAAAAAATAATAGTTAGGTGGCTAAAACGGAACAACAAGAATAATTAGGTGATTAAATACATAATTTACCCTATTTATTTTTCTAATTTAATGTGTTAAAAAATGTTGGGAAGAAGCATATTGAAAAGAGAAAATATTTGGAACAAATCCTTCCACGTTACAAACACCAACGTAATTGATTAAAGCAAACACATTTGATTATTAAAAAGATTAAAAAAAGGAGACGGCCAAACGAGCCAACCCAGAACAGAGGAGAGAGATCTTTAAAAGGCTAGCTTTGTTATTGTTGTAGAAACCCCAAATCTTTTCATTTTGGGAAAGGCATAATACAAAAAATAACCCCAAAAGTCCGTCAAAATTATCATTTTGATCCCCGTGTTTTTTTTTAGTTTTTTTGGCCCTTAAAGTTTCAATTTGAGGTAATCATCTTCCTGAAAAATTTCAAATTATCATATATTTTCTATTGATAATCTATTTTTATCCCTAAAATTTTATAAATTCACCCGCTTAAAAATTTAAATTTTGCAAATTGGAATGCGTGATTGTGGTGTTAGCTTTTAGCTTTTGCCACTCTCAATCATCTATTAATCAAATTTCATCTCCTCCGTCACGTCTATTATAAATTGCTTTAACATTAAGTTAAACATAAGTCGAAAATTGCATTTATCGTATTTTGATGCTAAATTTTAACTACTCTTAATTAAAAAAAACCCAACTATGATACGGGTTCAACAGCTCAGAAAAACAACTCTAAATCTTACTGCCAATCAAATGAAGTAACTAAGAAAGATGCTCATAATTCATTAATACGAGTATAAAAACAAAACATCGGGATTAAAATAATAATTATGTAATAACAGGGTTTGTTCGAGTGGTAAACAATTTAATATCGTTTAAATAAGATTTCTAGTTCGAGTCATTGTATATACAGAAAATCCCCACTGCAAGATTCACTCAACAAAGCTCGGTGTGTGATGCATATCGATTTGGATTAATTAATGAGAATTCTTGAAACCGAGAAAACAAAAAAATTAATTATTATGTTTTGTCCATAAAAAGTATTTTGATGTCTAAGTTGAAGACAAAATCATGAAATGCCTCTAATCTCGGTTGCAAAATGATGATGGATTGTCTATGCACGATATATCTGAAGGGTAAATTATGTATTTACGTCACCCAACTATTTATGTAGTTTTGTTTTAGTAATTTGATTATTTTTTAAAATAAAATATCTAATGTTACGTTTTAGTCACCCGTTACTAAAAATTGACATAATTATTATTATTATATTCTTTTACTTTTACTTCAATGATGACATGACATTATCTTATGGTCACACATCAGTATAATCGTTAATTTTTTAACAACAATCGATCCAAACAAAACCAAAACGTAATGTTATGTATGGTTTTGAAAAAAAATGGTGACCAATATGAAATCACACAAATAATTGAGTGACTAAATATATGATTTATCCTTATCTTAAACAACTATTTGAATGGTCTTTCTAAACATTTATTGTTCGTGATTTATTTTATTTATAAAAAATAATTTTTTATAGTTTTAAAAAAATCTTTATATTTTATGTCACAAAACTATAATATGGTGTGCGATAGTAATCTCTCATATAAAATTATTAATATTTAATAATTAAAATTGATCTAAGTATATTTGGTCGGTTGACTAAACCATTCATCTTTTTTTTTTTATTCTCTTAGGGTTTGAGTTCTAAACTCAATAAGAACATTTTTTCTTCATTCCCTTTTCTCTTGATAGGATTAAAATTAGATTTAGAATTTATCTAGAAAATTAATTAAAACTTATCTCGAAAAATTAATTATTTTAAGTTCTCAATTTAAGAGATTAAATGTAAAAGTTTTGAAATTTTAATTGATTTTTGAAAAAATATATATTTTAAAGCTTTAAGATCCTTAAGCCGGAAAATATTTTCTCCCCCAACCATATGACGATCATGATTCCAAGAAGACATGCACAAAGTCGGATTTAAATTCGATTCGGTTTTTTCACCTAGCTAAAAAACTGGTTTATAAAAAAACTGATTCGAATCTTAACCGGTTTGGAGGGCCGGATGGTGTAACCGGTTCCGGTTTGGAAAAAATCGGTTAAAAAAAACGGATATAAAAAAACCGATTTTAATATTATTAAAATTACATCGTCATCAATTGCAACAAAGTTTACGATAATTGAAATACATAAATACTTCCAAGTTCGATAAATTCAAATACTTAAAAACTTCCAAATTCGATAAATTCAAATACTTAAAATCTTCCAAGTTCGATAATTGAAACAAAGTTTACGATAATTGAAATAAAGTTTAAAAATAAACTACATCGCCATCTCTTCTTCATCATTTTCGCCTTCTTCGATAAACGGTCAAAAAACAGTCACAAAAAACCCCCAACGACTAGTTTTTTAAACCCATACTGGTTTTTTCCAGATAAAAAATCGGTTTTTAATCCTGTAAAAAAACCGATCGTCCAATTTTTTCCCAAACATGTTATATTATCCGGTTTTAAAATATCTGATCCGGTTTAAAAAAACGGATTTTCCCAAATCCGATTTCGAATATTT